TAGCTGTGTCCAGGAATATGTCTTTGTACAGCTGACCGAATAATTTCGCGGCCACTCTAAAACTGGGGTGACACACTACTCCGGGCAAAAACACTGGCTCACGACACTGTAAAGGGTTTCTGGTCTTCCGTCGCGACACTCTCCCGGGCTTTTCGCTACAGCAACGATGTCGGTGCCAAAAGTCTACTTCACCTCCATTCCTAGGAATGAATCTCGTTTTACTACTAAATTGCATTAAATAATTATCCGTTGTTTTACTGATATTACATTAAGGAATAGTACTAATACAAGATATCACTTATTAACATTTTAGAATTACAAATCAAAGGACGAAAAACTATCGAAATCAGCTGAAAATGCGCGGGCCCTAAGGCACATCATAAATTTTTCTTCATCCACTATCGGCACCGGCTTCGAACGTCATACTCTTTTAATATTTTGAAAATGCCGTAAGTTATTCATCGTAACTGCATCTAAAATGGTTTACACCTTCAAAAGAGTCCTCAAGCCATTACGTCACGTTTCCATGGAAACCAATTTTCAGTTCTAAACAAACTTGTACCGACATGGCGCTGTCTATATCGAGCCTCTTAAATTTCTTCAAAAATGAATCTAGATCAATCTCTCGGGGAGAGAACCACAACAAATCAAATTATATTGATAGTTTTACATATATACCTGGTGTACTTGGAGGCAAAGTCCAAGCAAGCATGTAGGTGTATGATGTAACGGTGAGCACTGTTTTATTTTCTTTCACGGACTTAGATATGTAAAACCCAAGAAAATAACCATGGGTAGTATCAAATCTTGAAAATATACTGAATAGATGATTGAAGTTATAAAAATAATGTAATTCTTTAATGTTATTCCGATAGTACACAATGTTTTTTATGTAAAGCACTTTAGGCCTACCGAAAAATTGGACTGCGGAATGCATTGAAATAAAGCACAGAACGTAGGTCTGCTCAAATGTTGATTTTGATTTTGTTTTGGGTGAGCTCCATGATTTTTCAAATAGTTTGTTAATATTATGGCCATATATATCTGGTCCATGACTCTTAACTCCATCGCGAAAATGACAACTACAGACCCTTGAATATTTGGCTGGATCCTTGTCTCTTCTCTTGTGGGAAAAGGACATGTTTTTTTATTTCAGACCTGCAACATGAGCATAAAAATGGAAAATATGCTTTGAAGAATGAGGTAAGATTGTTAACTTTTCTGATGCATAACTTCAATTTTGGACACGACATACAGAATGGATTTTTTTTATCCTTTAAACACTGTCAAGGGTTAAGTGCAGTTCCCGTTTTCAATTCTGAGCGGCCGTTGCAATATGAAGTCGAAAACTATTTAGGCCTATCAATGTTTTCCTTATTGACTGCTGAACCAGCAAAACATTGTGCTACAAGGGCACTTTGCGACTGAAAGTAGCTTTGAAAAATGACAGGGACGAAAATTTAACAATAGCAGGCCTACATAGTATATGAAGTACATAATATCGTACCTTAACAATCGAACCCAACGTCCGTATTCTGATGTCTTTTTCTCTTTACTCGGGAAAGCAAAAAATCTACAGGAGTGGGACTCTGACTGGTGCTTGCAGCTTGGAGCAAAACACTGAACCATTGTAGATCTAATCAGTCGATGTTTAAAGCTTCAGCTATCGTGAATA